TCATTGGCTCACTTGCTGGTGAAGTATTTTGAATATTTCTTGTTGTACATCAACTTGTTGTCCACTCTGACCACATTCCTCAGGTTTTGCCAAAACCAAGGCTCAGCAGCAGCTGATCTCGGCCACTCCACAACACTTTTCTCACAGAGCCTCCTCCTCAGCCGCACGAAGTGAGAGTGCTGCAGGACGGGCTCCAGCATCAGCAGCACAATCACATCCAGGTTCTCATCAAGCAGTCTTTGGTGGGCCAGATACATTGCCAGTTTGAAAACCCCGGTCTTAACGTAGCCCTCCGTCAAGACGAACAGGGTCTTGCGACTGTACTGGATGCTCTGAGTGAGGTTATTTACCAGGGGGGCGCCGGGGGTCCAATCCCTCTCCTCAAGACACAGAGGAAGATGCTTCTCTCCTTCCTCTTCCAGTTTCACTCGCAGATTCCTCATCACCCATTCAGTGACATGTGGATCTGTGGTGTCGTAAGTCACAAAGACATCATAAATGGCACCTGGTGAGTTAAAGGCTCTGTATCCTTTTATCTTAGCTTTCATATAGTGTATCACGTAGGAAGCATCCCAGTAAAAAAAGTGGGAAACTGTTGCCACAAACAAAAAAACAATAATTAATGAACTTGTGGTAATGTAAATCAAGAACGCCTGACTGTCATCTATACACTCCCTAATGTCAAATATGATCAAAGCTATATCTTTGTGTTGTGCTGGTGTGTCACATTTCACATCAGTGTATAGTCTAGGAATCTTTACATTACTTGTTTCCATCCAAATAATGAAATCAAGTGCATCGCAGGTACATTGGAACGGGTTGCCTTGCAAGAACAAAGTGTGAAACTGAGATTCAGGGCTCAATGGGAAGGTGGATTGATTGATAATAGTCAGTTTGTTGTAGCTTAGGCTAAGGGCTGTAAGCTGTTTTGCTCCATTTACAAATCCACTGTCCAAGTGGAAAATGTCATTATGACTCAGGTCAAGGAAAGTCAAAGTATGGGTTACGTTTGAGTTTATAACTGTCACATTAGGTAGAGAATTGAAGCTCAGGTCCAAAATCTGAAGTTGATGGAAAAACTTGAGTCTGTCCCATTTAAAATCAGTAAGCAAGTTGTGACCTATGCGTAGTATTGTGAGGTTACGCGGCAAATATTCATAAACATAGTCTGGAAGCGTTAAAATGTGGTTGCTAGATATGTCTAAAATTGTCAAATTAATAAGATTAGTAAAAATGCTCTCGTATGAGAGATCTGTTTCTTTCCAAAGGGTCCCCAGAAGATTATTTGTAAACTGAAGTTCTGTTAATGAACGGCTGTACATCTGTTTGGTGGTTAGAATGGAAATGGAGTTATGACTCATATTCAGCACCCTAAGAGCAGGAAGATTTTGTGTGAAATTTAAATTAAGTGTTACCCCGTACGCTTCAAAGTAGTGTTCATTGTAACTAAGGTCTAGCACTTGTAGTTTCTTTAGTTCTTGGAAGGCTTCGCTATAGGCCAAATCGATCTTATTGAATGACAGGTCCAGGTATGTTAGATCATGCAGTGGTGAAAACTCTGTACCATTAGGTGCTGCTGAAAATCCATTTTTCGAGAGGTTAAGACATGCAATGTCTTTATAGCCAACAAACTGCTTTGGAGAAATGAAGAACATATTATTTGAGCTGAGAGATAGCACTCGTCCAGAGTTAAAACACTCTTCCTTGACAAGGCTCTTCACGTGCTCATAAACAAAATCACCCGGATGGGGAATTGTGAGCGGAGGAATAGAACGTTCGGACCTCTGATTGTAACCACCGCATGATGAATCAAGCAGATTTCTATCTGGAGTGGGAAAAAGCTTGTTTTCTGCGAGGTACATCACTTTCAGGTTGTGGAATTTGTAAAATACAGTGGAATCGGAGTGGATAATAAAGTTTGTCCCTAAGTTCATGATAGAGAGATTTTTGAGTTGGTACAGAGGTCTGAGAGTCTCCAGTCCAATACTCTGGAAGACCAATCCCTGCAGATGAAATATTTTAAGGGACTTAAGATTTGAAAACTCTTCTGAGATATTTAATTGTGTAGGGTATAACTTGATACCATAGTTGAAAGAGATATCAAGTCTCTCTACCGTAGGAAGATGTCTCAGAAATGTTGCCTCCTCAGTAATTGCCTTAAATAAGAAGTTAAATGCCAGGAACAATTGTTTAAGTTTGTTCAGACTCTTAAACCAGGAAGGATCCAGGTGTTTCAGTGAGTTTCCTCCCATATTCAGTATCTCCAGCTGGGTTAGATATTGAAATGCATTAGGATCAATATCAAGAGACTTTTTTGGACAGGTGACACAGGGATATGGAGCGTTTTCACATCTTGGACAGTTCCCTTCTAATTTCAGGACTGTTAAATTTGGAAGCATAAGAAAACCATCAGGGATGTGATTTATTCTGTTATTATCCAGCTTTAACACGCCTAATGATTGTGGGAAACCATTGGGAACTTCAGTTAAGTTGTTATGGGACAAGTCCAAATGCTTCAGTTTGCTCATTACTTCCAAACGGTTTTCCATGTTAACAGATGTCTTACAAGGATTGCTGTAGTAGCAGTTTCTGGATAAAACTAACTGTGTAATATTTGCTAAGCAATCAAAGCTCCCGTTCAACAACATAATGTTGTTACTGTTCAGCTCGATGATTTCCAAACTGGGAGGAAGATTAGCAGGAATTTCCTTCAGACCAGTGCCACTCAGTCTCAGTTCACGCAGTTTTGTCAGATTTTTGAAAGCATTCACAGTGATGTTCACCGTTTTGTCATTGTTTGCTCTGCTGAGATCAAGTATGGTCAGATTCAGCAAGTTGGATAATGAGTCATTCCAAATATTACAAATGGAATTGTCTGATAAGTTGAGATAAGTTGCATTGTTGGTTATCCCATGAGGTACTTTTTTCAGTTGACGGCCTTCACAGTCAAATAGGACATTAGAGTTATTGTCGGCTGTGACATCACAAGGGAACTGCAGTCTCATCCACTCAGGTTTGCTTTCAGCGGGCTGGATCTTACATTGGCAACACAGATAGGACAGCAGCAAGTGCATCCAAACTGCGACCGTCTGTGGATGAACAACAGAGTTAGTGGAATGCAGCGAGGTATAGTCAGTTATCCACAAACATGTATAAACAGATTGTATATCGTCGATACATTATACATTATGAAAAATGGTTTATTCACCAAGCAAACCTGTTTCAATATCAATATGGGGACCTGACTTCAGGTCATATTTGACAAATGGTATTTATGAATGGCACCATTTGTATCCAGCAGATGGCAGCACTTTCACTATTTTGAATAATTAATTATATTAACACCTTGTCCAAACTGAGGCCCGGGGGCCAAATGCGGCCCATGGTCCATTTTTAATCGGCCCTCAGCAGATTCTAAAAGTAGGATAATGGAATATGGCCCACACCTGAAACTTGTGCTTGTCTTATATTGTACTTCGTAAATGTATATGTACAAATATATTATACAGTATTCATGTGTTGATAAGCCCACTTTTCCAAAAAATGCAGGCAATTATGGTTGAAAGCATTTCTTAACAAATCTTAGTTAATAAAAAAGCCCAATAACTTATTTACATAACAAGCTTGAAATATACCTTTCATATTTCCCCGTAATAAAAGCAATCTGAGTCTTCTGTTTTAAGGCTGCCAACAAAATAAATGAAACCCTATGGAAAGCTGTGATGTAGGCTGTTTCTTTTCTTAGTATCAAGCATAATTTACCTACATTTATTTTGCTAACTTATAACTTAACTGATGAGGCAATATACCTCACCTCTAGTGAGTGGCCCAGACCTTCGTATGTTTTTCTGTATGTGGCCCTCAATGAAAAATAGTTTGCCTTACAGCTATAAATAATTAACCTCTTGCTCAACAAGGGCTATCTAGTACCAAAACAAGTGTAGAAAAAGGCCAAAAGGTAGTTTATTGACTCAGAAATGTCAGATAAACAACTATTTGTAACCAACATTAGTCCCCATAAGATATCGTCGTACCAGGCTATACCAGTCACACCAAGCTTTAGCAGCAAAACGCCTGAGGTCACTGAACTATGTAGTATGGTGTATTATTGCATAAGATTTATACCGTGTTATTATTTTAGCACTTCCTCTAAAAGCTACACATTCTCACTTTGACAAACCGTAAGTGTAGTTCCTTAATCAGTAGGTTATCTAAGGTTGTAGAGAGACTTTAACAGAGACAGCATCACATTGTATTCTTTATCAACCTGTTCCAACTCTAAACAAAAGCATTGAGTTAGTGAAATATTGATAATAATAAATATGAATGAATAATGTTTGTAATCTCTAGTCCACCGATCACTGCTTGGTAATGGGTTTACTGTTACTCTAATAATTGAGATCGATACTGATTGAATAAGGTGACAGGAATAGTTTTTTTCAACACAGTTGGGAGTAAACTTTAATGTTCCATATGAAATGTAAAACAACACATTATAAAATAACAGTTTTCAATGAGTCAAGTATACACAGTAATATATAGTGCCGTAAAGATAATTGCAGAAACACAAAATCAAAACAGATTACATTAAAGAAGAATTCAATCTAAATCCATAACACACGCCGATGAATAAAGTTGTAAGCTACAGTTCAGTAGATACATCTATATATATATAGAGCAAACCTTAAGAATATACAGATAAATGTGTATCAAATAAACTCACCATCGTGTATGCAGCGTATTGATCCTTTGTGTTTCTTGAAATACAGCCTTAAAAAACACGTGACCTTGTCTGAAGTCACTACGAGTTAATGTTTTTAATGTTAATCAAGAATATACAGCAGCCATAAAATCCACCGGTTGCTGAAGTAAAACTAAACTCTGGTTCTGGGGCAGAAGTATCATTTCATTTGAAGAAGTGCTTCTCTTTCACTTCCTCTTTTCTTGCTATGGTGGAAGTATGTTCGTATCCCGGACAAAGACATTTTTATTTATTTATCTGTGGTGATGCCAAAGAGAAGCAGCAAGTTCTCTATTAAGGGACTGCACACAAACGGTCATTCATATAACAGAAATGCATTTCAAAACTGGGTTGCTTGGCATTCAAAAGTTATTATTTATATACAGAAGTACAATTATGAAATGAAAGGAGGAACTAAGAATGAAAGTTTGTTGTCTTAGAGTGTCTCCTTAAAGAGGTTGTTGTATTGTTTGTGACTTTCAGTGGCTAACACACTTCTCAGGCTGAACCAGAAGTACAACTGGGCCTGAGGGTTAGTGGGCCACTCCAGCACCGAGCGCTTAAAGAGCCTCTTCCTCAGCCTCAGGTACTTTGAATTGCATGGTACTTTCTCCAAGAGGATCAGTACAATAACGTCATTTTTTTCATCCATTAGCCTCTGGTGGGCCATGTAGAACGCTGTCTTGAAATTGCCACTTTTGATGTATTTGTTGGTCAGTACGAACACGGTCCTCTTGCTGTTGTGGATGCTCTGTGAGAGGTTGTCGATCAGAGGACACCCGGGCATCCAGTCCCTCTCCTCCAGACACAGCGCCAGGCGGCGGTCCCCGTGTTCCTCCAGATGAGCGCACATTTCCTTCAGCACCCACTCCGTCACGGCCGTATCCTCCTTGTCATATATTACAAAGGCATCATAGGCAGAGGTCTGGGAATACAGGCGGCCGTAACCTTTGAGCTTTGCCCGGCAGAAGTGGTAGATGTACCAGACGTCCCACAGGAAGAGGTGGCTGGAGATTGACAGGGTGAGGAAGCTGAGGACGAGGGAAGTCATGAGGGTGTACAGCATGATTGACAGGTAGTTGTGCTGGCAGGCTAGCAGGTCCACTGAGATCACAGGGTGACCTCTTTGAGCCCCCGGGCTGGCGCACGTAACCTCCGTGGCCAGCCTGGGGATCTTCACCGTGGTCGTGTTGAGCCACGTGATGAACCAAGTTGCGTTGCAGCTGCATAGAAATCTGTTTTTGTGCAGAAGCAGCATGTCCATGTTATTAACGACATCATCTGGGAAGCTGGATTTCTCAATGTGCTGTAGGTGATTAAAGCTTAGGTCCAGATATTTTAAGTTGTGGGCACCCTTGAGGAAATCTGGCGTGAGTTTCAGGATTTGGTTTTTATGTAAAAGGAGCTTCTTTAGAGATTTGGTACAGAGTGACAACATGGCTGGAACAGTGGTGAAGCTGTTTCCACTGAGATCTAAGACGTGAAGAGAGTGCAGAAGGTTTAGTTTCTCCCAATAAAAAGATTTGTCTTTTAGTCTGTTATTTTTTATATAGAGCTCGGACAGTTTGTCCGGAAAACCACTGAACACTTCTTGTGGAATGAAGGGGAGGTTGTTATGCGAGATGTCGAGAACAATCAGATTATCTAGTTTCTTAAAATAATTAAAATACCGGTTGTCCCCGTCCCTCCACAACATGTCTAACCGGTTATCTATGAACTCTAACCTCTCTAGAGATTGACTCTCCAACTCTGTGTTAGTAGAAGTAGAGATCTTGTTGTGGTTCATGAGCAATACTTTGAGATTTTTCAAATGTTTGGTAAAATTAAGCATGTGAGTCAAGCCCTCGGACTCAAAGTAATGGTTGTTGCGACTGATATCCAAGATGACCAGATTTTTCAGCTCCTGAAAGGCAGTGGGGTAGAGCAGGTCGAGGCGATTTGAGGAGAAGTCTAAATATTGTAAATTAATCAAATTGCTAAATTCAGTGCCATTAAGACTTTGGCTCATTGCATTCCCCGACAGATTGAGGCATCTCAGCTCTCTGAGATTTAGAAATCTGGGATGCAAGAAAAAAATGTTGTTTCTGCTCACATCTAGGGTTTTGCCGAACTGACTGCAATTCGTGTTGACAAAGGATGCAACCGTGCCGAGTTCTTTATCTTTGTATTTGCAGCTGCGTGCATATTCATCATATCTGAAGTAATGAATCTCTCTCACTTCCTTACTTTTGTACTGAGCTGCAGGGGACATGGGGGTCCAGTACTGGGTCTCCCCCCCGGAGAACCCCACAGAATCTTGGCCGTCAGAGGGGGAAGATATTTTATTGTCAGACAGACTGATTATTTTAAAGCTTTTTAATTCCATCAGAATACTAAGGTTTGTGATTTTAATAAAGTTTGTACCCAAATCTATAACCTCCAAGTTTGTGAGATGTTTTAAAGGAGCAATGCTCTCTGACTTGAGCTGCTGGAACACAAAGCCCTTCAGTCTGAGGATCCGGAGGGATTTCAAGGAGGAGAAACTGCAGCTCAGCGTCAGTGTTTCAGGGTACCTCTGAAGCTCGTAGTTAAAGGAGAGATCCAGTTCTTCTAGTTTCCCAAGGTGATGAGGGAAGTGCGTGACTCCTATCTCTCTTGCTAAAAAGTTTGATGAGAGATCAAGAACTCTCAGCTCTATTGTGCTGGCAAACCACTCAGACGACACATATTTCAGAGAGTTACTGTGCAGACGCAGTGTCTTTAGCTTTGTCAACATTTGAAAAGCCGTCTCGCTGATATTGAGGGCTGAGTTACCTGGGCAGGGGTCGCATGGGAAAGGAGCGTTGTAACAGCGAGGACAATTTCCGCTAATATCTAGAATCTCAAGGTTAGTTAAGTTTTTGAAATCTTCCTCAGTGACTTTTTGAAAGTTGTTGTTGTAGAGGTACAACTCCTTCAGACTCGTGGGCAGTAGATTTGGAATAAAGGATAAGTTGTTTGACTTAAGACTCAACAATGTTAAATTGTTAAGCTGGGAAAATGCCCCTTCCTCTATGCCATAGGAAACGTTACATGGGTTACGGAAATAACAGTTTTGACCGAGGTAGAGAATCTCAATGTTTCTAATCTCAGAGAGGTTGGCTTTAGAAATATAAAAAATATGATTCACTTCCAAACTCAGGAGGATCAGGTTTGCAGGGAGGCCTTTAGGTATACTGTCGAGCTGATTCCCATCCAGATACAGGGCTCGCAGGTTCTTCAGGTCGGTAAAGGTGTTTTCCTCGATCATCACACTCTTGTTGCACATGCGGTCCTTGGGCCCGATCTTGATGGGCACACAGTTGCACCTCATGTCAATCTCAGTCAGGTTCTCCAGACCGTGAAAGGAGGTGGAGTTTAATTTAGGAATATGGTTGATGGTGAGCGTCAGATTGGTCGTGTCTCTGGGGATGCCCGGGGGGACATCTTTGAGGTTCCTCTCAGTGCAGTCAACCGTCACCACGTTCCCGTCGCTCGCCTCGCTTACATCACATGGCAGAGTCTTTGGGTAAGAAACGCTAGCTTTCAGTATGATGGGGCAGCACCACAGGCTCAGCAGTGCCACACTTATCTGTACAAAAAACACATTTGTTCACTGAGGAAAGTGTGTAGGTGGAAAGCTGATAATACAGTCATATCATTAAATAAAACACATGTAATGCACATACACATCAACCCTTTGAGTAAGGTATCTAGATGCCATTTTAAAATACAACCGGCACAAGCTAGAGTTTCATTTTCCTCTATGTTATTTACAGCCCTTCTTATCAACACAATCTTTCATTTCACTAGTGCATACAATTATAAATCAATACAGTATATGAACAAATATTACTGCTACTCACCAGGTGGAAGAACATTGTTCACATGAGAGATTTTTAAAGAGGTCCGTCTACGAGTGCTGTTGTCAGGTTGGATGGAGTACGAACAAAGTGTGACATGAGGATGAGCTCGAAGGTGAAGGGATGAAAGTAACAGGTGGCTGGGTTAACCCATTGTGTGTATTATTAACCAGCATCACTTCCCTTTTGTCATAAACCGCACACATGCAAGTCCATCGTTTACAATGTCTTTGAAGACAGTTGACTGATTGTGTCTGTTATGTAATGGTGTAAACTGGCTTCATGCAAATATTAGCTACTTTGAAGGAGTTTCTTGAAAAAAAAAGAGATCAAGGTTGACGGTGTCTTGCTCTTATATGACAGTTTAACAGCTGGAGGATTTGTGGGTAATTCAGTGAGAGGGGAAAGAGTTGTTTCATTTCAGGTTAGCTTGCAGGGGAAAGTGAAACCTGTGCACATGTTAAGGTTGACCACTTACATGGTAAACATGCTATTCTAGCACAAAGCAGAATAGTTTTCCTTTTACTTAGTAGTTCCATGGCTTAGTAACGTGATTCATACAGACAGTATTTGTCTATCCCAAAACCCAATGCAGGAATTGATACTGCAATTTTAGAAAAAACATCCACCTGACCATACTTCAGTTAAAAGAGTTGATGCCAAAGTGGATTTTTAGCCATGCTAGCTGCTATTGATCTACCTCTTTAGTCCAGACTGAATTTTATAGCAGCCATACCTTACTGCACTGACGTCAATACTTTTGTTAGCGAAAAATTACCTGCAGAACTAATGAGAGTTCCATCAGCCTCATTTGTACTGTGAGTTTTGTGCTGATTAGCGAAGGTTAGCATGCTAACAAGCTGAACTAAAAGGGTGATCACAACAGTATGCAAACGCTCTACCCTGAGTGAAAGGGGCCATCATCATGATTAATGCAAAAAGCATTACCACCAGTCAGGATTGAGAATATGGTGAAATCATAAATTTCTAAACACAGTAAAAACTAAACATGGGTCAAGCGTCCTTTATTTATTAATAATGCAAATTTAAGAAGCACTTAAATACCATAATTGGTACTATACTTGTATGAGAGGGCGGTCATAAACAAAACCGCACTCTAGTTATTAGAATTAAAAACAGACAAAAATAATTTGAAAAGACTTTAAAAGTGTTCATCTTTTTAATGATGTTGACAAATAATAACAGATAAGTACTCCGTTTCCAACGTGTAAACTGCTCAATAAATTAAGGTGACTCCAGCAAAAAGTAATATGCATTTTAATGATTATCACGTCTTGTCCTGTGCAATGATTTGTCTATAGCTTTATATTGTGTATGCATTTCTTTAACATAATATATATTCTTACAATTTATAAACAAGGTACTTACTGTATAAGGTTGAAATAATCTACATGGTAAAACCCTACTCTGACCAATAAATCATAAAAATAATCCCTATCATATAATATCTGATAATATACTTGAGAGGAGCGTCATATTCTTCTTCATAGAGGCCTTAATATAATCTATTTAAAACTTTAATGATTTATATAATTTATTTTAGATAATAAAATATCGTATACACAAGGCAAGTTGTTTTCATCACAGCAGTTCACATTGGTTGTCAAACCCATGTCTCTCATGTATGGCTTTTAAAATCAATAATCAGGACGGAATAACAACAGTTTATTTGTTGAGCAGTGTTTTCAGTGAGTGACTTAGTGCGTTTAGAATAACAGACATGGTGGCAGAGTGATGTGTCAGTGCATTCACACTTTGGTCACCGGGGGATCTTCCCGACGCTGCCTCTGCAGATTTCAGCAGACGCACGTAGTTCATGACCACCTCCTCCACCTTCGCCACCACCTCCCGCCGCTCGCTCTCGCTCAGCTCGTCCACCAGTGACAGGCAGGCCTGCGTCAGACAGCAGAGTGTGTGGAAGCTGTGAGTCAGCGTGAGCAGCAACTCCTCCGGGCTGCTGTACTCCACAGCCATCTGACTGCAGGCGCTGCTCAGCACTTTGGCCTGCGTGAGGAGCAGCTCTGAGGACGTATCCGTGTCGGCCTCGCTGACCTCGCGGTTCCCACGTCTGGACGAACGGCCGACGCTGGAACGCAACACGCCGACCATCACTAAGGCATCCTCGCGTGCGAGTGCGAACCCTGTGTGAAGGCTGTATGTTTTTCCCTTCATTGAATTGACACGAGCCAGCCTGGCTTCGAGGCTCATGTCTTTCATAGCTTTAGAGTCAGCTTTCAAGACAGCGTTTTCCTCGCGATTGAAAGAAAGAGAGCTGACGGAGAACAGAGGCGTCTTTTTGTCTTCGTCATCACCGTCAGTGTTTTTCTTTCTCCGCAGGAAGCAGTGACTGAACGGCCCACGGCACCTCCACGTCCCCGTGCCCAGCCTCTGAGCTGTGGACTCTGAACACATCTGCCTTCTACCAGATGGATTAGAGGCGACGGAACCCAGGGACCAGCTCTTGGGCAACGTTTTGGCAGAGAATATCCTCTTTACTTTTGGGGGATCTTGAGACTGGAAGTTCTGACTGCCACCCTTCCTTGTAAGTGTGGCTCTTGTCTTCTCTAGCAGCGCTTCTAGGCTCCTGGAAGCTGGCATTATGGCGCTCCAGCTCCTCCTGAGCATCCGATCCCTGTGTGGCTTCCTGAGGCTGCTTGTTTGAGTGTCACATGAAGGTCCGCTTGAAGGGAAAGCCAGGGCTTGTGGGTCGGGCTCGGGGCTGGCCTGTGTTAGCCCGCCGAGCTCTGTGCTACTTCTTAAAGATGAAGGTGACGTGGTTGTGGTGGTGGTACTGCTCTCAATACAGAGAGCTAAAGATGACTCTTCCCCAACCTTCTCCAGCTGTGTGCAAGCTACACTAGGGGTACAAGGGAAACAAAAAGCACTGTTAAGCATTTCCCTGACCGCACACATTCAGCTGTTATAAACTATTTTCAAAGTTCTGGAAAATATGATAATTTGCATCAAATGATATCATAACTAATTAAGGTTCAAACAGATACCTAAATATAGGTAGAACAACGCGTAAGTAAATGCCTTACTTGAAACACAGATTATTTTTAATTAAAAACTCTTCGAGAGGCTTAAAGTGGAGAAGGTATTTTGAAATGTTTAAGTTAAGAGAAAATTCAAAGGAGGAGACAGAAACAGAATTATAATGCTAAAATAGATGCTCAAATAAAATAGAAATCACCTGGAGTATTTCCACATGCTTGCAATGGCATTAAGTTTAAAGCACTTCTGTACAACATCAGAGAGCTGCTAACATTGTTTTTCAGTCTTTCCATTTAGCTAGATAAGAGAGAGCACCCTCCTGTGTAGTTTTACCTGTGGTTTCTTTTATCTTGGGCATTCGGTGGCTGCCTTCCCGTGTGATCCCGAATCCCGGCTCCGCACTGGTCGCTGCGTGGATCTTCCTCAGCAGGGTGGGGTCTATAGGATGGCCGGCCCTCCCCTGACCTGGGGGCCCGTAAGCTTTTTCCTCACCAGGTGTGTAACCCAGCCCCTTCAGCGAGGACTCTGACAGTACATGCATATTGTCTGTGGCACAGAGAGGAGAATCCATGGGAGTGACACAGCTGCTGCTGCCTGTGCTACAGCCAGCGTCTATAGAGGAACACTGGGAGCTCTGCAGAGAATGGACGCCTTCACTCTGAATGGAGGACATGCGCTTGTTCACGTGGTATTCGCGTGAAAAAGCGTGCGGCTGCTCATTGTCCTGTGAGGCTGCTTCTCCTTCTGCAAGACCGGGTCCTTTCGAGGGTGAGTGGGCATTTGACTGTTGGCTTCTTTCATCTAAGTCCCGTTTGTCTCCCTTTACTGTCAACCTGTCTGCGTGGGAAGCCTGTGAGTCATTCACACTTTCTGGAGAAAGATTTTCTGCCATCTTGTTTCCGGGCTGCCATTTTTGATTTCTGTCTTGAAAGTGTGTTCGCCCCAGATCCAGTTGATTCATGTAGTAGGCATCTCTCACAGTGAAAGCGTTGTACTTCCCAACAAGATGTGCGGGCTCGTCTCTAGCCGAGTCGTGAGAGGTCATGTGACCTCTGTCCGAGGATTCGCAGGTTTCTCCTTGGACTCTGCTCTCTGCCTCCCCCTGTTTTCCTCTCTGCCTGCTCATTACTGAGCCCATGTGCAGCTTAGTGAAGTATTCACTGACTGATTTGATCTCCATTGTCTCTGGCTCCATCTCACCGCCATCTGAGTGAAAGATCTGGGAGGAGGCGACAGCAGATGATTTCGCCTCCTCACCCTGATGCTCCTGTGGGTTGTACTGCAAAGCTCCCGCACGGCCAACGCTGGCTAAAGCGGACTGTGTCTTCTCCTCGTTCACGGCTGGGTATCCTTCTGCCATGGCCATGTGCATCCTCAGGTGGTTCTCTGAGTGTCTTTGAGCAGTGGCCAGCTCTGAGCTCTCTGTCATCTCTGAGGAATTCGTCTCGTTGCCAGAATCGGAGGAGTCGGGACTAAATGCCCGTGATATTTCTACACCTGTGTATCACAGAAAGACAAACACTTCATTAATGAATTCATCTGAGGCTCTCGACAAATATCACAGATAAGGGGAACGAGTCAAAAATAATTAATGGTGATGACAATGTGATTCAACATGTGAGGGAGAAAAGGAGTTAATGATAACTTTGGAATAACACAGAAAATAGTACATCAATAAAGAATAACTACTTTAAGATACAATGAAAATACGGATCTTTTTGAATATTAGCATGCTATCGTGCAGTATGTAAACATTATAAAATGGTTCATGAAATAATAAAATGTTGAGAAAATGATACTGAAATGAACAGAAATGCTGAAATGAATGAAATGCTCACACAAAGGGAAACATAGAACAAAATGGGCTTTATTGAAAAAAATCAACAATGACAAATCAAAAGTGAATGGCTGGAAAACGTGTGATGTTAATGGATGAACGTTACAATAGTGTAAGGAGAACCTGTGCTACTCTCGGACTGAGCCGGACTCTGTTCCTCAGACGCAGCGAGGGCCTCTAGTGCCTGTAAGGTGGAAACCACTGCATCGTTCAGAGGCTCCCCG